TTGCTTGAGGTCTGTGGGTACAGGACCTATGGTGTATTTGTGGTTGCTTGGAGGACTTAAGCAGCAAAGAAGAAGAATTCTTCTTTTTAAAAGGGTGGCATTTGAGATCCGACAGCTCTAATATGCCATCTGTGTAACGCCAGTTTTCCAGAAACACAGGTCTTCTATTGTGCTGGCCGTACACAAGGTATTTTCCAGTGTAAGAAGCTGACTTCTGGTTGCTGCTGGTCAGTGTCTGCACGTTGCAGGTATCACTTGCTCCGCTAGTCACAAAAGGGCTTCTCTTTCCCAAGCATTGCTTGCAGGCTGCTAGAACATACAGCAGCCTTGGAGCAAAGCTGCGTTACGGGTGCTGCGTGGAGCGTGCGTGGCGGGGAGCACGGGCGGCCCGGCAGCGGAGAGCGCGCCAGGACGCGGGAGCTAAAAATAAGGGATTGCATCAGATTTGTCTGGCACGTTGCAGAACCCGGGCGAGCAGTCGGCTCCGTGATTGCAGCTCTGATTCGCCTTGCTGCTCCCGAATTAACTGGGAGTGGTTTAAAGCAGTGGGGGCTAAAAGTGAAAATGCCACTTGTTTACAGGCAGCGAATGGTTTGAGTGTGCGTTTGGTGTGCTTGGTGGCAGCTACAGCTGGAAGCAGCACAGACGGGGGCACCTTAGGCAGGCAGTTCAAAATACTTCGTAATTAGTGCAGTAACCCGTTCCCTTTCCGAGAATACGTTTTGATGAACTCACAGTTTTACTACGTTACTTTTTTTTTTCCCTTTGTGTGTGTGTTTTTTTTCTTCCAATTAAAGAAGAAAGTGTCTACAGCTGAAGCTAGTCAGCTGGACTAAAAGCCTTCTTTTCCAGGACCATTTCTTTAAAATTATCACAGCAGTTATTCTGAGATTTGTTTTGGAGGTTTTTTATTGCTAGCACAGCTTAAAAAATAGGTTTTCAAAATCTACAAGTAGGACAAAATATTTTAATCAACTTGAAGTTTCAAGACCCAGTTTCTGAAAACTAGGTCTTCAGTAGTGTAAACACTAGAGTGTTTACAGTTTTATGAATTAATAAAGAAAAAAAATATTGATGTTCTTAGGTGAGCTCTAGCTTTTTGGTTGTGTACCGTGTACTTCCCACAGAGGAGAAATGCCTATGGTTTTGTGAATCTGATTTTCTGTGTATGCCCTTTCTAAGGGAGGAGGGAAAAAAAAGGTCCCCAAAAGACAATGTGGCCATGTTCTATTTAATACAGGAGGGAAAAAAAAATGGGTGGGAGAAAAAAATCAAGAAAAGTTTCTTTATGGGCTGTCTCCAATATTTCCTGGTAGTGTGGAGAATTTGCTCTTTTTCAAATCATTACTTTGAATCTTCTCCATTTTTAATATATTAATATAAGGGTCATTGTAGGATGTGTCCTTATGGCTCTCCCGCATGCTCTGTGCTTCAGATTAAGCCAGACCTTGGTGAAGGATGTGGCCATCCTTGCTCGAGAGATTCACGACGTTGCTGGAGACGGCGACTCGCAGAGTTCGTCGGGGACGGGGCCAAGCACCTCCCTCAGCTCGGTGCCCAACACTCCTGCGTCCACCATCTCGGCGAGGGAAGAGGTAAGATCTCACGGCAGAAATCTCAGCCTCTGAATGCCAGCAAGCGCGTGGGGCCGGGCTGCAGGGGCAGGCCCAGGGAGAGCATCCCCAGTTACTGCAGGGTTAAGCAAACACCTTCCCCTGCGTCCCCAAAGACCCCAAACACTCACAGCAGGAAGGTGGACTGCAGTGCTGTTTATTTTGCCTCCCCTGTGCCCTAAGCAGCCTTGCAAGAGGTGGGAGCAGCCTTTTCCTTAGCATGGCTGTGTGGGTATCAGGCCAGGCCTGGCTTGTTTGCAGTATCCTTGCTATGCCTCCAAGAAGCAGTGGGGCCAAAATAGGGTCAAAGTGTTTGTCTCCCCAGGGCTAGGGGGGCTCTAATCAGACTTTGGTCCCTGAAGTCTCTATGTAAGGAAAGGCATGGGGTGGCATGCTGTGCTGGTAGCACAGCGAGGGCTTTCGGGAGAGCCTCGCTTGCCAAGCCAAGGTGCTGACTGGGTGTTTTCGACTTGTATTTTGGGCTTGTGCTCTGTCCTTCGTTGCACGGGCGTTTCTTGATTCACTTCCCTCCATCTGCATGTTGATGGGCCAGGATGAAGGGAATTAGCTATTTCCTAGAGTGTAGGTGTCATTGTGGCTGTAGAAGAAATTCAGTCCTCCCACCCTTCGGATGAGCCGTGGCTTCCTCCCAGACTGTAACACAGTTTAGCTGCGTTGGAGAGGGAAGGTGATTTCTGTGCTTACCCAGCACAGCAGCCCAGGGGCCAACAGACATTAGCAGCTCAAAATAAGATGCAAGGTCACCTGTGGGCTCCAGCTGCTAATGCTGAACTATTTATACTCTTTTATTTACTGGCCTTCTGTTCTCTGTGATGGAGAACTGACCTGTCCAAAACAGATTGAATCAAGAGTGTTTGGAGGCCCTGTAACTTTAATGTGCTCCTTATTGAAGGTGCAGAGCAGAAGTTCAGGGATATTTCCAGAGGAGCAGGTGCTTGTGGCTGTCCATGTGTTAAACCATGGTCAGCTGTGGCCTTTTCAGGGAGGGTTTTTGCCCTGGGGCGGTTTGGTTTTGTTTCAGCCTGGGGTACACAAGTGTTTCACAACAGCTCCAGGCGCTGAGATAGGGTTTTGTTCCCACACCTGCAAGGCTGCCTTTTTTTGTTATTCATCTTGAGCAGTTATTGTGACAAATCTACTCTGCTTTAGTTGCAAATTAAGCTCTGGCACTTTTGGTAATGACCAGGCTCAGCATCAGTTTCCTGCTAGCAGAGCAGGGCACATACTATTTTTTTTTTTGGAGTGCAACCACAAGTCAAGCTATGAAGAGAGATGTTCCCTGCTGTTAGATATTTCTCCTTTAGGCAATGCAGGGGAAAGATAGTTTAAAAAACACATGTCTGAGGGTGCTCTCACTTTGTGGAAAATGATGGATTCAAAGAGCATGGTAGTGGAACTGAGTGGGTTACCAGAATTGCCAGGCTGTGTTTTTCTCTGTGCACGGCTCCAGACAGTGCCCACCACAGATCAGGAGCCATAACGCTGGACTGCAGACCAGGGAATAAGGAACAGGGAATAATACTCCTCCCAGGCAGTAGGAGGAATGGTAGATGTGAGTGTGGTTCATCCGCTCCAAGGCCCTGTCTCCACGGTGGGGACGGTGTCACTCGCCCAGGTTGGCAGCGCTGAGAGAAGCTCCTGTTCTTTATTATTATTTCCTGTCTGGCACTGCTTGCTGGATCCCTGTTACAAGGGTTGTTTTAGCCCAGTGAAGGGAAATCCCCTAGGAAATCTCTAAAGATCATGGGGTGTGATGCTAAGCACTGTGAATTTTATGAGTCTTTATTAAAGAAGTTTATATTAAAGTACTCTAATAAAGGAACAGTGATGAGAAGCATCTGCTGTAGTAATGTAATAGGAATGTCTGATAAAATTTAGCTTACTTACAATAAATGTAGAAATAAGCAATGTTTGCTGTGTGTGACCATCTCCCTTACACAGCTCTGGTACACACAGCATTGCATGCCATTCTTTTAGACTCTTGATTATTTTAATTTTTTTCTTTACTATTAAATATTTGTTTGTATTCTGTGAAAGTGAAAAAAACGCAGAACAAAACTGATACTGGAATCACTTTTGAGCAGTAAGTTTCACTTTGGACCGGTATGCAGTATGGCATTTTTCATCCAGAACAGACTTCTTTTAATTTTTAGCCAAGTTTTATAATGGAATTAAAATGCTGTGTGTGCTCTTAGAAGTTAAGACAGAGCATTAAATTAATGCCTTGCTCTTTATGTTTTGTCCGTTCAGGTCCAGTGTTGGCTTGGATGTTAACCAGGGAGGTTTTAAGTTCCTTAGTGCATTCAGGGTTTGGGGTTTTTTTTTTTTTTTTTTGAGCCCTCAGCTGTGTAGTATACAATAATACAGATTCTTGGAAGCCTGAACTGAATACAAAACAAAAGGTGTTCAGCAAGGGTAAAATAAACCCTTCGTGACTGCTATTTCCCAAAGTCATGGGTTGCTTTGGGATGCTTTGGGTTTGGAATGTGTAGGTTTTCCAGGATCAAGTTTTCTGCAAAGGTGAGCAGTCAAACTGAAATCAGCTGTTGTGAATAGTCACCTGCGTTCTGGCATTCTTCTGGTTTGGTCTTCTTTTCTCTTGTGTTTTTTAAGATGATATACCAAAAGCTTGCAATCTGAATTAGATTTCTTAAATGCTGTGTAAGGTACTTAGTTTGACTGTTGGTATGATGAGAGGAGATGCTTCAGGGGTGACAGAGCAAAAAGCATGAGAACGGATTGAGCCATGTGTTAAAACCTTGGTCATGATGGAAGCGATGCTGCTCTTACAGTTTTTCACTGGTTGTGCTGAGAACTTCCAGACCATAGGAATATCTCCTGGTTACCGTTCACTTCTCACACCTTTTCCACCACTGCAATCAGCCTAACTTACTAATTGCTTCAGCAGTCCACAAAAGGATGCTTAAAAAAGGAAGCTAAAGACCACGTAAACACTTTGGCTGTTGCGCCCCTGCAGTGCCAAGTCTCGTGCCTCCTGCCCGAGCGCGTTGGGCAGCCTGGCCCTGGCAGGGCTCTCGGTTTCCTCCCGATTTTGCCCTCGAGAGCTGTGTGCTGCTGTTGGGGTTTACCCAGCACCATGCAGAGCGCCCGGGAGCTGCAGGGCTGGTTGGTGCCTGGAGTCCCCCCTGTTCGGTGCATGCGGGGGGTGCCCGGGTGCCGCTGTGGGAATGTCCCCCCAGATAACCACACTCGTGTTCTTTGATACCTGCTGTCACCCTCGCTCAGGGCATTGATCTCTTTGTTTCTGTTTTAACACAGATTGCTCGTAGATCTTTTCGGCTGGCATATCCATCTCAGGTGCACTTTCCATCCCATTATTTTATGTCTCTGTCTTGTTGCTGTTCCTTTCCTTGCCCTCTTCTAAAGTTTATATCTGTCAGTTAACCCCAACAAAGTGGTTGTCCTGTCTCCTCTGTTTTGTCTATTATTTGCATTGTCGGTGGTTTTGTATTGCATTTTCATCTCTTCCATGTGTTACTGAATGGTTTCTGCTTAATTTTAATGTCACTTTAAAGTTACGCTGATCTTTTAGCTTGATTATAGTAAAAAAAAAAGATATGGGAAATAATGACCTTTCTGAGTTTTAATCTAAATTCAGAAAAGACAAAGATGTACTCTTCAACTAGCAGGCAAACTCTGAAAATTATAAACCTGAAATAGCCCCACTGAGTTTTGTGGAATGACTCCAGTGGATAGATGTTTACAGGACTGGGGTCTGATGATTTGCTTAGGAAACCACACCTGTCTGAACAAGACTTAAATGAATCAGTGCCCCTCTGGGGCTTGCCTGAAAATCTGTAATACCTGCAGTGACTGCCTGTGTGCCTCCGTCCTTACTAATTTTTAATGACTCATTCCTCATTATTTCCAAGTTGGTGCAGCACATTCCAGAAGCAAGTCTGAACTACCAGAAAGTGCCTCCGGGATCAGTAGACCTGAAGGATTTTGACCAAAATATGAATGATAATAGAGAAGAGGATCCCTCAAGAAAAACAAGGACAAGAAACCGTGAGGAGGCAGGCACTTTTTTCCTTGCTTTATAAGTGTGTGTAATATTGCTCTAAGCTGCAGTATGTGCATCTGCTCTTTGTAAGCTGCCAGAGGAAGTGCACTTTTTAAGAGCCCTGACTTGTAGCTGCAATGGTAGAAGTAAAGAGTTTAAAAAAGAAAAAGAAAAGAAAGAAGGAACAGAATCACCCTTATAACCAGAGTTGACTGGAGTTTTCCTTTTTTATGTAAAACTCCACTAAAACCTGAGTTATTTGGGGAAGACATTCACAACATCAGAACCCATATAAGCTATTGCACTGTGTGTGTGGTTTTTTTTTTTTTTTAAAAAAAAGAAAAATAGAAAAGGTTCAGTGTTTTGAAACGTGAAGCACCAGTGGTTTAGCAGTTGGAAATCTTGGTATGAGAATATTTTTTTCCTAGTCAGTAAGAGCTCCTTGTTTTCTTTTATGGCCATGCCGTGGAGCAGCAGCAGCAGAAACTGGTCCTTGTGATGAGTCTCTGCCTTGGGCTGAGTGCCTTGGCACAACCAGCTCCCTTTTTTCTTTTTTTTTTTCTTTCTTCTTGTTTAGTAGAAGAAATGTATAAATAGTTACAGTTCTGCTTTTTCATATGCTTTTCCAGACAATGCTCTGAACGGGTTAATATTTATCTTTTTGCAAAAGTGATGCAATAAAGTGACACTCCTTCTTATCTCCCTTAAACTTCATGTATCATCCCTGTAGACAAAGGTGTTTTGATGGAGATGCTTTAGTCTAAAAATGATCCATTTTTATGCTAGTTTTACTAAAATATTTTTCTATCCAACTTCTTTTATATTTTAGGTAATCTTTGACAACCTTATGCTGAACCCAGTGTCCCAGTTATCCCATGCAATCCGTGAAAATACTGAAAACCTAGCTGAAAAAATGAAGTAAGTAATGTTTTGTCCCTGATCTGAACAGTTCACTTGCTGCTGAGTTCTTTTGAGAAATGCAGATCACAAACCTATTGCTTGTGGAAAATAATGTTTTGTCATCTTGGGAAGTCTTCTAGTCTAGATGCAGGAAGTCTAGATGGAGGGAATAGTATGTGTACTCAAGGATATGTAACATAATTACTTGTGATCTCTTTTCTCACTTGTTTGGATGAAGATGTCTTAACTTTGCCTTTAAGAAGTGTCAGTTGTGGGAAGAAGAATGTGTTTTTGTGGGTGGGTTGTCTCCCTTTTCCTTCCCCCGTCCCAAGACTCTTAGAAAGGCTGCAGATCACCAAGGCTTGTGAAGGCTTCTCAAAGTCTCTTCTTGCCCTACAAGCTATGATTTGGAGAAGGACTTTAGATTGTTCCATAATTAGCTGAAAGGCTTTTTGTCCTGTTGCTAATTCACTAATCTCCTTTGTTGCGAGATCTTGTGATAACTAGGTCTTTAATTTTTAAGCAAGCGGATACTAGATGGTGATTTTAAGACCTGTTCCACTGTGTGTGCTGCAGGATTCTGTTTCAGAACTCAGAAAGGACCTGGGAAGAGATGGAAGCCAAAATTAATTCAGAAAATGAAGTGCCAATTTTGAAAACATCAAACAAGGTAAGACCATGGGACCCAGTGATGTACTGGGGGGCTTATGCCCATGGATGCTTTGTAAGAAATCAGGCAAAATAACAGGCTCTATCATTTCTCAAATGCATTTCTGAAACTGTTAGTCCCTTTCCATGTGTTGAACTGCCAATTTTTGTTGCTGTTGTAAGAAGAGACCAGGTGAGTTACTCCAGTTAGAAACAGTTGTATTTCTGTCACTTTCACCAAGTTCTTCCTTTGTAATTTGAACAGTACTTTAGCAGATGTACAAATTCAGGGTCATTAGGTCTAATTTAAACATCTTCCAAAGCATCCTCCACAAGTTCAGTTCCCACATTGCAGTTGTAGGCAGGTGTTTCTCATAGATGTTTGGGATATTTTGTCTATTGCAGTTTGATAACAGGGCAGTAAAAATGCCCCTGCCCTAGGGGTGGCATTTGTGGCCTCATAGCCTTTCTACTGTCTGTCCTCATAAATGACAATAAAATTTAAGTAATGGAACCAGCAAGTTGACTTGATGTTAAGGGCACGTATAACTCTGTGCAGGAACTGCACCTAAAAGCTCAGGTTTACAGAGACATCTTCATGGCTAATTGCTAATACATTGTGGCTGTGGAGGAGCTCCTGCACACTTAGTGTCCAGATAGCTGGCCAGCATTTCAAATCTCAAAACCATCGTAGCTGTGAAATGAGTGGTATAGTAGCATTTAGGAAAACGAGACTGAGCAGAGATCATGTGGAATGCTGACCAAGTCCAGCTAAATATATATACTAGCTTTGCTTTTACTCTTATAACACAGTAACTTGAACAGAGTTGGAACTCTGTGTGAATATACTTGATTGGAAAAGGTAGTTTCCTACCTTAGTGGAGTACTTAGTTAACTCTTTTCTGATGCATTTTTTTTTTTTGTCTCTAGGAGATCAGTTCTATCCTGAAGGAGCTCAGGAGAGTTCAAAAACAACTTGAAGGTTGGTTACTTTAAATATTACTTTTGTCTCATAAATGACAGTAAATTGTACCAAATATTGTGGACTTTATTTGCCAGTGAGAACAGGGAAAGAAAGGATGCAGTAGTTCAGTTGGTTTGCATAGAGCTCTCTGATATACGTACATGGAAGGAACAGCAGATTTTCTTTTGCTTCCAAGTTGTAAGAAAATTGTTGACTTCTGAAAAGTGAAAGCATTGCTGTGGACATACTCTGGGATAATTAGCATGTTTATATAAGATGAACTGGTAAAGGTCTTTTCTGCTAGTTCAGCTAATATTTAACAGCACTTTTGCCAATAATCTCTGTTTTGGACTCTCATTGACCTGAATTCTGTACCTAGAGCTTGGTGCAATAGGGAAGGCAAGATAGATAGTCCCAGTAGAGACTTCTTGCATCGCATGAAAACTTAGACATGTGAAAAAGGCATACAAGCATCATTCCAGCCTCTTGATAAAGGCTTGCATTTGCTGCTGTAGTTTGTCCTGTGTAACTTGATCAGAAAGCCTAAAGTCATCATAACTTCAGTCTGGGAGAGGTTTTTGCTTATTAAAGTTGCTTAGATCTAAAGACATTAATAACAGTATTGTGACTAAAATGAACACAAGCCCTATGTACAGTTTTAAAGACACAAAAGCTTCTGTTTTGAAATACTTCTAAGTGTAGCTAATATGTGTGCGTATATGCATCTTTTTTTATTACCTTTTCCTTCCTTTCCACCAGTCATAAATGCTGTCATTGACCCTACTGGAAACTTGGATGTGGTTGCCAGTAACAAAGCATCTTCTGCTGCTAAGCAATCTACAGCCACTAAAGTCAGGACTGCTAACACTTCTGGGTCCACACTGCAGACATTGTCCCCAGCGCAGATGAGAAACTACACACAGAAATCGAACTGTGGTTCCTCTAGCTTACAGGATTCAAACTTCATTCCAGATGGAGAGAAATATGTGATCTGATACAGTATTTTGTATTGCTATCATATTGTAATCTACTGTTGCATTAGTACTGTGTGTGAGTGGTTTGTGGACAGTTGTGTGGAGCAGTTGTTTAGATTGCTAACACATTGCACAAAAAAAAAAATCTATGCTGTGAGGGTGAATGGCAAAGGCTGGGTATGCCTTTAAAGAAGACTAGCACTGTGGAGCAGCACACATTCAGCATAGAGGCAAACTGATATTTAGAAGGTTACTCAACTTATTCTTCCAGAGTGCCATAAGAAAACAGGCTTTATCCTCCAGTCGCTACTGCCGAAGCTAAAGTGTTCTTGCATTAGCCTGTTTATAATTATTCAGTTGTAATGAGGCGTGATTTAAAAAGAAACAAAAAACCTTTGTTTGGCACTAGATTTGTTTTGGTTTTGTTCATTTGTTTTAATTTTACAAGTGGAGCATTGCAACTCTGTTGGAATCAATGTGCAAATCCAACAGAATGGTGGTGCAATATAGCAGGTTTCTAGGAGAAACTCTTACTACAGTTGTATAAAAAGTCCTTTTTGGTGTTTGTGAAAAGGAGGCAACACTGAAGTTGTGTATTGTGTTTTCAGTCCAAAAACCAAAATAAGACAGAACCCTTTGTTTTTCCACTGGAAAAGTGTAAAAGTTAGCTATGATGGTATGAATGTAAAAATATTAATGCAGTTTCTGTTTTTAACCATATTTCAGGCCCAAAGTTTCAGGTGTAGGTACAAAAAATCAGGTTTTACAGTTTAGCTTGCCAAACTTTCATTATTTTGGTACAATTGTCATCTTTAAGCTTTTTATTTCATTTTAATATTAAATATTTTCACAATGAGCTACAAATGCTCCTGTCTGGGCCGAAGACCAAGATGTCTGTGATTCAGCTAATTGCTAAGAAAAACATCTGTTCCAATGGCTCATGTAATATGCTTAATTGCACAGTTGCTGTGAACTAGTGTTCACTTGATGGCACTCTAAAAAGAATGACTTAAATGTAGCTCCACCTTTGCTGCTAGTTCTGTCATGCATTTCTTTTCAATGCAAATGTGCTTGAAGGCCCACCATCCTCTGGTGTTCTTCAGAAACTATTCAAGAGTGTCAAGCAGTTGGTGCGTTTGAGATTTTGTCTGAATTTGATTTTTGGTCAGTTATGATCCCAGGAACACTAAGGATTATTTGCAGTTGCACTGAGCAATTCCTTGTTTAAAAAAAAAAAAGTTGCATTTTTGTATTCTATCTTTCAGTTAAGCTGCAATATTCTAAGCAATTTTGTGGTTTTGTTTTAAGAAGAAAAAAAAAGTTTTTGAGGAGAACTCTTCCAGATGCATTTGCTCCCAGTATGGTGTTTTTCCCCTCTTGTATTGATTCCTTTAACATTCTTCTTGGCTAATAAAAATGATCAGGTAAAGAAAACTAATCTTCTTTCATAGTTACAGAAGATACATGTATTTGGAAAGGTGAGCAGATGAGTTCCATTTTGCCCTTATACAGTGTATCATTTAACTAGTGAAAATGTTTTCCTAAGCTTGACTGCTTCTTGTGTGCTGGCTTCACATTTTGGGATGGGTAAGGGATACTTTATAGTTAGCTTTAGTAGTTACCTGAGCTTTTTTGCTAGGATATTGTAAAAGTGGGAACCAGTTAAAATAATTTAAATACATAAGGATGTTCACACAGTCTTTAATCTACTAGCAAAAAGCGTGATTTCTTTCCTGATTAAGCCAGTGGAAGCTTCCTATTGATTTCAGCAGAGACAGGATCAGTCCCAAAATGGGATATGCCAATGGGCCATTAGTTTCTTGTAAGTGTGGAAGATGCTGCCTGGCAAACAGTAGGTATAAATATCCTTCAAAAAGAGTTCCACTAGGTGATAAGACTCATCTACTTGTGCAGAGGTGCTCTTCTGTGAAGAAATCTACTGGATTTCACATAGGTGATGGCAACTTTAAACATACTCTGCAGAATTTAAAAACAAAGTCCTTGATACGTTCCTCTGCCTGTAATATATGCGTTATCTGAATGTAGCGTTCATTCAGTCGTTTATTCTGATCTGTCTTTTCTTGAAATACCTGACTGTGTCCTTGATGAATATCGTAAGTGGTAGAATTGTTCCTGACATAGACAATACACCCTCTACTCAAGCCCTGCTCGCCTAGGGTTTGATACGACCAGGTGCTACCCCAACTCACTGAGAGTTGAAGGACCTTCACAGATTAAGGTGTTGCTATTAGTTTTAGTTCTCCATAGAGACACATTAATTACATAATTACTCTGAAGACATCTGATTTTTATTATTATTTGTTACCATGCTTACATATTTTCATGGCTGTGCTCGAGTGGATTTTGTTTCTTTTTAGCATGTCCATGAAGACTTCTGTTTACTTTCACTTGAAAATTGCTTGAGTCTTTTTTCATACATGAACACATCAGAAATGGATTTTCCTCCTTGATTCCTCTGCTCCGAGTTTGAGAGAAAGCCTACAGACCCCTTGCATCAATTAAGTCAACTCATACAATATATGGTACTCTGCAAATGACTAATAGAGATGCAGCAGTTGGTGTCTGTTAGTAATTTGGAAAGAGTATGTGTGGAGTGGGGGGAGAACATCTTGATTTGTTTTAGTTATGACTCAACCAAAATATGAAGTGCTTCTGTGTCCTGACACAACACTGATGCTTGGATCTCTGCATTCAAAACAGTCTTGATAATCGGTGGTGAAATATAGTCGTTTTTTCTGTATTCACTGCTTCTGAAGTGCACCCCATTGGCACTTGTCTGCTCCAGATAAGCCAAAGAGCTAGCCGTGTGATTATAACTCCTGTATTCACTTTATTCATTGCTTATTCTCATAAGCAGTACTGTGTGCTCCGGTGATAACATGTCTCTGGTTCCAGTGTGACCCTGGTAGCTGCGTAGTGCTGTACCTAGTTGGCCTGGGTTCAGTGCGTGGGATTCCCGTTGGCTTCCGTGAGCTGCGGATGGGCTTTTCTTGGAGCTTGGTAAGGGTGCACTGACCCCGGGGTCCTTCTCATACCCTATTGCTTTCGTGTTTTTTTCTTTTTGTATTTGACTAAAGAAATGTAATGAAGGGTGGGATTTTCAAAGTTTGAGGGAAGCAGGTGTTCAGGTCCTCTTTGTTGACTGTACAATTCAGGTGCCTGTTGCCTTGAGCACCTTTCAAAATCCCAGCTCTTGGTTCATCCATTGTACTTGAAAACCATGTCCTCAATTCAGTTCTTTCAAATGTAAAAACTTGTTACTCTGTTATGATGGAGTGAATGTAAATTCCTGAGATAATGTGTACAAGTTCTGTGAGCGAGGACCCATGTATCTACAGCAATGTCATGTTGTGGTCATGCTGCAGGAGAATAGATTGTCTACATCATGTTTGAGTAGTTCTAGTAAAGGTAAAACTAGTGGAATGTTTACATACAGCCTACTGAAAAAAAAAGAGTAAAGTATTTAAGTATAAAATTCTACTAGTTTTTTCTTTGGGTTTGCAGATCACACTAGCTATTTTTGAAGTTCAGTAAATGTGTATAATTTCTGCAAAAAACAGACAAAACTACCTGTTCACTTTCGATGTGCCCTGTGCTGAATTGTGCCTATTTCACTATCTGCTGTTGTTATGCTGCTGATTCTGCTGTTCTGAACTGTTCACTGGATCATTCCATTTGCATGCAACACAAATGCAAGCTGAGCTGTCTGAGAGTAAAGCTGAAACACGTTTGCATGCAACACAAATGCAAGCTGAGAGTAAAGCTGAAACACATTTGTATGACTTCAGTTGATTGATTGACTTTCTCTTTTCCACACCCTCTGCAAAATGCTGTGTATAATTTGATTTGTTTCTCCTACCCTTATTTTTTTTCTGCTTTTGTTTTTTTTATGGTAATTTATTTGGATTATAGGCAGTATATGTACATTTTGTTCTGAGGTGATATTGTGGATGTCTTTAAAAATAAATTGTTATTTTATATAATTTTATCATAAAGTTGCTCTAATAAATCATTCTTTTATCATGTGACAGTATGATGCTGGGTTGTGGTGTGTTAATTCTGGGGTAGGGAGAAGTGTGTGCTTGGAGGGCTAAACAGTTTTATAACTGCCTCTTTATATTGGCGCTTATGAACACAGCATAACAAAAGAATTAGCAGCGACTGAAAACTGATGGTGCAGCTGGGTCACATCTGTGGCCTGGATGGATCCCCCTCTCACAGAACAAGAGCCTCCTTTCCCCCATGCCCTTCAGTTATGGGATTGAAGTCTGCGAGTCCCCATCTTCTGAGGATGCTCTGACTGCCCAGTTTGGTATGCTGGTGTTTTATTGCATTTTTATACCATTTTATCTCTTTGCCTTGATTAAGTGTGATATTTTTAAAAGTTAAATCCAGCCTGGATATGGCAAAACTCCAGCAGCTATGTCATTAAATAAAAATGTTGTATATAAGATATATATAAGGTGACACTTTATAGCTTGATTTAGTTGTGTGAGAAATTCTTTTGATTTACCCTTAATTATATCACTACCCTCTTTTCTTTCTTGAGTTCCTCTTTGTGAACTTTGCATCCTTCATGGCACTTTGGAAACAATATTGATTCCTTCTTTCCCACGCAACCCAGCCAAGAACAGTGGGAGATTTCCATTTTTTGATGTGTGCATTAGAGCCTTGAAAATGAGCCCTTCACGGGCAAAGTTATTTATTTAAAAAGAAAAAAAAATCTGCCTCTCTCAAAAAGCATTCTCAAACTTCCCTGTTTCAGTCTGTGTTTGCTGTGACTGAAGAGAGGCCTTTCCATGTACTCCAAAATACACATTTAAATTGTACACTTACAGCTCCATAGCTTTCTCCAGCAGTACTGAGTGATGCTTGAGTTTGGATGCTACACAAAGTGTAGTGATTCCTTTTGGAATCAATAGTGTATCCACTTCATTAATTTTTAACAGTCTGACTGAATAAAAATAAGAGGTAGTGGAACTGTGGCCAGAACTATTTGCAGCATAATGAGAGCTGTTATCTGGCAGGATTTAAAAATAAGCAATAAAAGACAGAAGTAGTGATCTCTCCTGTGCATCTTCCTGCTGCGTGTGCAGCTGAAATCTGCCTTGATCTTTAACATCCTCATCTGTGTTAGGAAATACACAGTCCCGTTTCTGTATGCTTATAGAAAGGAATGCCAGAAAATGTCCCCATTAGCAGGGTTGGCAGGATCCGTCCTTAGAGCAAAACTTTAAATCATCGAGACAGATGCTGATTTACTGACCTTGAGCGAGGATTGACGGACAGACCCTGATGCTCCTGTCGGGTCCTGCCCCCTTTTCTGCAAGGGCACTTAATGTGTGTTTCAAAGCAAGACC